AAATGAACTAACTAATAAATGTACCTTTAGTTGGCTGCATGAGCAATCCAAACTGAAAGACTGAGTGAACTCACCTGAAAGCTCTGGACTCTGGGTATCGCTGCAACGGAACATCTTGACAGTGGTCTGTATCGACTACACAAACAAACAAACAAACAAACAAACAAACAAACAAACAAACAAACAAACAAACATACAGCAGGTCAGCCTCACAGTGTCTTGATCAGAGGTCAACGCACTGTGACTCTGACTGACCTCAGAAGAGGAGTCAGGCGGATGTCCGTCRTCTCCATCTCCACAAGGTCGTCGTCGTAATCATCATCATAATCCTCGTCATCATCTTCATCTCCCGTCTGGACCAGACTCCGACCAAGACGGCGAGCTTCTCTCTCCAGCTGGTCTGGACGTGYGATAGACAACCCCCTGATKGAAAMAAACAAACAAACAAACAAACAACAGATGATCAAATTAACAGAGATTTATGTTTAATTTATACAAAATGAGGAAGGTGTGTTAGTTCTTACTTCTCAGGGTCCTCAAACCCCTCATTTCTGAAGACCAAAGCTGATCTGAAAATGAAGTGAAATAAAAATATATAATTAACTGCCTTTAAAAAAAATTTATTAAGTAAGGGTTAATAGTTGAAGGCTCAAAATCTTTATTTGCCTTTTATACACGTTCACTGGGTTTGACTACAAACAGTAGGTTTTGGATTGAAAACTTTTCTACGGTTCAGTGTGGACATGATCTTACTCGTCGTTGTCTTCAACACTCAGAAAGTCCAGTCCCTCCCACTGTCCAGCTGTCCCCTCCACCGGATGGAAGCGGATGTCCAGCTCGATGATGATCTGAAGCCATGGAGAGGTCACAAAAGTTACTGCAACAAAGACTGAGGCTCTGTTGTAGCGGTGTGTGTGTGTGTGTGTGTGTGTGTGTGTGTGTGTGTGTGTGTGTGGTTGTTTTTGGTGACATTTGGGGGCAATTTTAAGACAAAATCCTGCCTTTGGGGACAATTTGGGGACCTAAGTCGAGTCCTCGTTTGGTTTAAATGCCATTGGTGGGTTGGGGGTTGGGTTTAGGACCAATGTGTGAATTGAGTTTAGGTTAGTTTTAGGGTCAGGTAGGTACCTGTGAAGTTAGCCTTAGTGTTTGTGGTCAGGGTTAGGCTGTAGAAATATAATGGAAGTCAATGCAATGTCCTCAGTTTGATGCAAATACAAGGATGCATGTGTGCGTGTGTCCTTACATCAGTCAGGCTGTAGTTGGAATCAGTCAGAGGTTCCCGAAGCAACAACCTGCCCGTGGTGACCACATGCTGGAGACTGATAACCAGTCGGCCCAACAGTCTACAAACACACACACAAACACATACACAACATGTAGCATCTTGTATGCCAACACTGTGTCTGATTATACACAAAATGTTTATTTTCAGTGTGTATCTTCTTTACAATGAAATTTAAAAAAACAAAGAGCTTCTGAGGATGAAAAACATGCAGCTGTGTGTGTGTGTGTGTGTGTGTGTGTGTGTGTGTGTGTGTGTGTGTGTGTGTGTTTTACCTGTTGGAAAAGACTTTGCTGCAGTTGAAAACACTGACGGACAAAACCTCATCGGTGATCTCTTTACCGTAGTGGGGCCAACGGAAATGCTGCAACAACAAAACTTCAACTCAGAAACAAGTTACACAACAAGTCAACAATTGTCTCCAACTGAATGACTTTGATCAGATTTGCTGAGTTAGCTTAAACTGGGCTGTTRAAGCTAAAAGTAGTAAAAAGATAAAAAGGTCCTGATGCATCTCAGTAATCCAGGTRTAAAAATCAAAAAGAAAAAAACAAGACACAAGCTAAAAGCTACAAGAAGCTAATAAAAGGCCAAAAGTAACAAAAGTCCATCAGAAGCCTCATAATTTGCTTTAACGTCTCGTGATGGAAAACTATGTGGCTTTTTGTGTATGAAAATATGAGTTATTTGAATTACTACATAATTATTCATCAAACCAGAGGAAAAGAAAATCATTACGTCTTTTCCCTTGGACATTTTCCAGTACACTCATTAACTACTGTGCCTGAGACACACACACCTGGTCACACCTGAAGAACAAACACCGGTGTGCCTCAGCAGCAGAGAAACAAAACTCCTCTCCCACTCACGTCACAGAGAGGAGCTTGTTTTAACTTCACGGTTACAGCCGGTCATGTTCAAGTCAAGAAACGGGGCCTGCCCAACAGTTCAAACAAACAGTTTCTGACTGTAAAAGCTTTTCTTTTTGTTTTCGTTTCCAGGAAATCCACTGAATCAAAATCATGTTGTTGTCGAATCATTTACTGAAAAAAAAGTTGTTGAGCTGCATTAAAGCTAGTTAAAGTGACTGCCTGCAGCTGTACAGCTGTTCACTTCAAAGCTTCAGTTCAGTTTACTTTTCTCATCAGGAGCTGCCTCTTCAGAGAAAAGACTGAAATCTGTAGGTGTGTGTTTGGGATGAAGGAGCGGTTGTGTGTGTGTGTACTGTAGGAAGGGTGGCGTTATCAACTTAATTAAAATAGTTTCAATTTGGATCTTTTTCTTGACTTAAAAAAACAGAAAAACCACAGTAAAACTAGAGTTTCTGCCTTATGCTGGCTACCAGAAAGGATTGGCTTCACTTTTCAGACCTGGAGGCTGCTTCTCTTCATCTAACCTAATGTATTCTGTCTGGGCCCTCATTTTAAAGAAATTATTATTATTATTATTATTATTATTATTATTATTATTATTATAACCATACTTTATTTATTTAATAATTCACTGTTTCATTTGAGACCTGGTGTGTTTCTGCAGCTCGGGCATCACTGACCTCATTGAAGATGGCCACGTTCTCGCACTGCGGCGCTCGGGTTTTATGGGTGAAACCTGGAGGGCAAACAGACGTGGTTCAATAGGATTCACAGGCCTCAGTCATAATCCAGCAGAGGAAACCCAAACCAAACAATATGTCAAGATGACAAAGATGGCTTTAACAAAGTGGACTTTTGAGTGTGGAACGAAACAGTTAGGAAACGTCTCAAGTTATATCTCTTATTGAAATGAGACCCTTTTACTTTACTCTTTTATTCTACAAGAATACAAAATATTGTTTTTCTGCATTGAGCTCAGATGCAAAACCAGTGTTGTATAAAGTACCACAAAATGATACTTGAGTAAGTATCTTACAAAAAAATTACTTTGGTCAAAGTTAAAGTCTCCTTTAGGAATATTACTTAAGTAAAAGTCTTAAAG